TAAAAGCAGTTGCACAATTTTTTTTGGCATTTTTCGGTCACATTTTCGATCGTCCGATGAGTAATTTTGATTCCCGGGAGGCCGGGCAGGTGTCGTCTGAATCGCTCACCCTACTGATATGCAGCGGGCCGAAGTACAACTAATCTGAAATTAATTTAACTGAACCAACTACTGTATCCCACAGCGAACTAAGCTAACCCAGCTTTAATAGAATTGAAACTCGACTCAAGCAAGCCAGCTAATTAAGCGTGAACTGAACTCAAGTAGTAAATGAGCCTGAATGTGGAACCGAAAATATTCAGGCGTCACCTGTTTCATGGCGAAGAAATTTGGAGCTTAGGAAATCAGGTGTTGAGAGTGAGAAGTGAGAAAGATCAAAATGTTTTACATTTCTTGGAGTATTTCTCCTGGTCATTACGGGCATTTCCTGAATATGACCAAGACTTTAACGATCATGGAAGTCTTGGTGTAGTTACTTCGGAATTGAAAATCAGATTCTCGTCAAAATTAAGTTGACTATGTTTTGTATCTTCTATTGAAGCGTAGAAATTAGATTACCAAGTTGAATTGATCGCTCATAAGTTAATCCGTCCTGAATAAAGCTTTTTTTATTGATGATGTTGTGTTCATTTTTTACTTAATCGATTATTTTCCAAGTTAAATTTTCAGTTTTTAAAATTGAACTTGCTTGTTTTGAACTGAGTTTTTATTGTTTCAAGTAAAGTTCAGTTTGACATGGTCAGCTTATCATCCTGAATTGCGCGCAGCAATTTGAAGAAGGGTAATTGATTTTCTTGGCAAATGGATGCTGGAACAGAAGTAAACTTTCGTGCATTGTTAAATTCAAAATTGAAAACAATTCTTGATTTATTAATCGCATGTGGAGTGCAATGTCCAGGATTAGCTCTCAGATCGAATTGGTGATGCAAAATCGGCTGCAAATTTTGAGCCTGCTTCTAGTCTTGCATTTTTGTGAAATAATATCAGCGGTATCAAATGGAAATTGAAAGGATGCCTGCCTTTCTTCTTGGATTCACGCTGAAATTCAAGATGAGCCTGTTTTTTCTTTTTCGAGGAATGATTATCAGAGATTCGGTGTGCTAAGAGGATTATACTTACGTCACAGAGAAGAATCTAATATGTGGTCAAGATCTTACTGGAATCTTACTGTTAATTTTTAGTCAACATTTATGAGGTCAGACCTTCATTGGTAACCCAGGAAACCTTCCTCAGAAACCATTAAACATGCTAGAGTTTCAAATAGCATTTCTTCAGCACGTGGTGGATTTTTTGTCCTTTAACTGCAACGTGTTGGACGTGAAACCTGCCATAGGCCTCATCAACCCAGTGTTCATGTCATTGGATTTTCCGATTTTGTGCGTGCAACCTTTGGTGTTCTCGTATTCTCCGTTGATGTTCTCTCTGGCTCCGAGTCTGATAAGTGTTTGTCCCGTCGTGTTCTCTTATGCCCCCGTGTGGTACTCTGTGATTCCCGAGTGCTTCGTGTTCTCGCCCATCATCTTTTCCATTAC